GTCTTGTACTAGAGCAAACAAGACAATTACTAAATCACATTTTTGTCTATGCCTTTTTAAATAATACTCCATCCGTCCCGCTAAAATTGTCCTATCTTTCCTTTTCGGTCTGTTCTAATAAGATTTCCTCATACCAATTTTAATAAAATTTGTGTGCTCTTAAATCATTCAACTTAATTTTTATTTTATCAATTCAGTATCAATCACATAAACTCACCTTTTTTATCAACGTGTCATATTCTATTGTTTCAATAATAGTGGTACGAAGGTAATGATATTTTAGGAAAGATCTTACTCAGCTCCCTCCGTCCCATAATCTCATTCATTATTCACATGGTCAACTTAAATTACTCTTAATCTTTTGTTTAAACATTATTGGTTTATCAGGTTTTGTAACAGTTTTAATGTAATTTCTGAATATATAATCTTATTTACTAAAATAATCTAAGTGTGAACCAAAATTAAGTTACTTTATCACGAGTGAAGCATTGGTAATCCAAAATGGGAAATTATTCCCGGATTTCCAGGGATGGGGTAGTATAAATTTTAGGAGTGTATAGGTCTAAATTGGAGGTTAATTTTGAGGGCCCGGATAAAAAAATATTTATGCGGAGCCTAACGTGGCGGATGAGCCGTAGAAGTCGGGGAAAGTCACGTGATTTAAAAAACTGTCTGCCCACCACATCTTCCGCCTCCCACATCACGTGGACAACTCATGCGCGATTTTTTGCAGGGTCCCCACCAATTATACGCCCATCTAAGTTGCTTGACTATTGGTGTATTACGATAGTATAAAATTAGTGGTTCCCAAATGAGTGGTTCCCATTTTCCTGCTTATTTAACTCTTACGCTTTCTCAAGTATTTTTATATGAGCATAGGTATTCTTTCGAAGAAAATACAAAAAATGTGCTTGTAAACACTTTCATACACATTTTTATATCCACCATTTGTCAGAATATGTGAAGCCCCTTCATTTACAAACAATATGTGAAGCCCCTTCATTTACAAACAAGTGTGTATAAAAGTGTGTACATTTAATAAACTTGAAAAAATATGTGAGAAAGTGAGAATAGTCTAACTTGGATTAGAAGGCTTACCAAACTTAGGTTATGCTCTCTTTTTTCAGTGACATTTATTACTAGGCTAAAGGGTCAGATAGACACTTGAACTAACTTAAAGTGTTCAATTAGCCCCTTGTATAGGAGGTTCTGTCCGGCCATCGCCAATTGGGGAGGTTTCTGGTAGAATTTTTTGATGAAAGTTTTTGAACATCTTCTTCATTAAGTCTAGTTTATCCATACAAATTTCAACTAAAAAATAAATCGGGAAGATAGTCAAACGATTTTCCGAAATGTACGGCGTAGTTTAACTGCGCAGTTATCTTTAAAAAATTATTTGACTACCTTCCCGGTTGAATTTTTAGCTGAAATTTGGCACGGGTAAACTAGACTTAATGAAGAAGATGCTAAAAAAAGTTCATCAAAAAATTCCACTGGGAACAGCCCCAATTGGCGACAACCGGACAGAACCTCCTATATAAGTGGTTAATTAAACACTTTAAGTTAGTTCAAGTGCCTATTTGACCCTTTAGCCTTTATTACTATTGAAGGGACGAGTACAAGTATAAAACAGGTCTAGTGCGTCTGCCCGGCTTTTTAAATCTAAGTAGGATATGGCGTCCAACCAATATTATGGTCTGTTTGCAACTGCTTTTAAAAAAACACTTCTCAGCTTTTGGCTTTAAAAAAGCACTTATTTTCCCAAACACTACAACTTATTTTACCAAACACTACCCACTTTTACTTTTCAAAATCACTTTTTTCTCAAACACTAGGAGTGTTTGCACTGGATTAAAAAAAGCACTTTTCAACTTTTGGCTTAAAAAAAGTTAAAAAGAGTGTTTTCAAATGACAGCTTCTGCTTAAATTAATCACTTAAAAGCTAAAAGCTGGAAGCAGGTGGAATGGTGCTTTAAACTGCTTTTCACTTTTTCTATTACACAAAAAGTACTTATTTTACCAAACACTACCAACTTTTACTTTTTCAGAATCACTTTTTTCTCAAACACTACCAACTTTTACTATTAATCACTTTTCCCCAAATCACTTTAAAAAATCACTTTTTTAAAGTTAAAGCAATTGCAAACACTCCCACTATCAACTTTTATTTAATCACTTCTCTCCATTTCATTAAAAAAGCACTTTTTTAAAAGCAGAAGCTGTTGCAAACAGACCCTTAGCCCTTCAGTATTAGCCGATTCCATATCTCTCCCTTTTCATATGGTGTGGGTGGGGTTAGGGCACTGGGCCACTACAAAAAAAATTGGAAACAAATTTACACCAAAATAATTTATATTAAAAATATAGACATTTTAAAATTTTGAGGTGGGTCGGGTTCAGGGTTGCCCCCCCGCTACGCCCTGAATATGGCCAATCACTTGACGTCAAGCACTCTGCCGTACATTGGAGCATCAACATTAGTATTAAAAAAAGAGAAAAGGGGCAAATAAGGTCACGTACTAACCATAAAAGGTCAAATAAGGCCTTATTTAAGAGGTTCTGTCCGGTCATCACCATTTGGGATGGTTTTCGGTGGAATTTTTTTATGACATTTTTTGAGCATCTTATTCAGTAAGTCTAGTTTACTCATACTAAATTTCAGCTAACAATTCCATCGGGAAGACAATCAAATGAATTCTTGAAGATAATTGCGCTTTTAACTGCGTAGTTATATTATCGAATTCATTTGAATGTCTTCACGATTGAATTTTTAGCTGAAATTTGGTATTAGTAAACTAGACTTACTGAATAATATGCTCAAAAAAATTCATCAAAAAATTCCACCGGGAACCACCCCAAATGGCGATGACAGGACAAAACTTCTTAAATAAGGCCTTATTTGACCTTTTTTTGTTAGTACGTGGCCTTATTTGCCCCTTTTCCCTTAAAAAACTCCGTAATTAGTAATTAGTAATTACAACTTCGCAAGCCTCATGAAAGCATGAACCCACAAAACCAAACCACCCCTTTCCTCTATAGTTCGGACCAATAAAAGAGATACAAGTATTACTTTTGTAAAAACTAGGAGAATGTTTTTATTTGCGTAAAAGGGCTCTTTTAATTTAGTTTTAAATGAGTTAATATGTTCTTAGACATGTGTTTTTGCTTAATTTAAGTAGTTTAAAGCTTAAATGCTTAAACAAAAAATGGTTCTAAACTTCTTTTCATTTTTTCTCTTACACAAAAGTGACAAAACACACACATTTTAACTAAATAATTTAACTTTTTTCTTTTTTAAAATCATATCTCTTTTACAGCTCTATTAAATTTTACTTGAAAGAAACGTAAACTCCTTTTGTCCATGTGATATGTTCGTTCCTATATATACATCCGATTATCCGAAGTTTTCAAAAAATCTCATCAATATCATATCATAGGTTAAATAATGACGCTAATGATTAGTAAAGTCTCATCAGTTGCTCATCTCACATTTTGTCTGGATTGTATTTGACGTTTAAAAAATTATCAGGATAAATCTATTTGAATAAAATATGCTCCTGTCCTCACTCTCCTTTCTATCCAAATTGTATAACTGCATCATAAAATTTGAATTTAAAGCGGTTTATGAAATGTTTTCCCAATAAGTAATTCCTCTCCCTTTTTATTGAAGTTGGTGAAATTGTCATTTGTAGTGCCATTTAAATTCAAATACTGACTCTTAACCCTTCTAGATTGAGTTGCTGGGCGTTTTAGCTCAATCTCAACTTTATGCACATCAACAATTGGTGGAGAACGTAATCCTATGGGGTAATTAAGCTCTCCGCCCCAAAAAGTGGTACGAGTACATCGTGTTTTATTTGTGTCACGCACTTACATCCTACAAAATATAAATACGGAGTATTATTGATTTTAAGTCAATGGTAGGGTTGTGTCGTACACAAGCAACAGATAAATATGGAGTAATATTGTTAAGTAAGATTGTTAAGTTTGACGACGCCAATAAATTATGAAGTACTACCTCCTTCCTACTAATTTTTGAACCAGAAATGTTACACCACGAGTTTATGTGATTGATACTGAATTGATAAAGTATAAATAAAAAAAGAATGATTTAAAAACATAAAAATTTTACCAAATTTAGTATAAGACAATGTTATTGGGACGGACCGAAAAGAAAACATGAAACAATCTTAGCGGGACAAAGGAAGTAATAAAGTGTTATCTTAAAATTCTGAACTGCTCCTTCAATCAAGTTGAAATTCTAAGATGGAATTTCTGATTTTAACATGATATCATAATCAAATCGACCAATAACACTAATGTGGAGCCCTTGTGAAAAATGATGATGATTATACAAATGATCATGACTAACTGACAAAAAAATGACATTACAATCGAGACAATGTGTCTGGTCGTGAGAAAGAGTATTGAAGTCCTTCATCGATAATTACAAAGTAATGAAATGCTATAATAAGATTTTGAACTACTCTTTCTATCATGTTGACGTATTGCGATGAAACTCTACATCTCAACAAAATTGAAGCAGACGGAATGACTTTTTTAATACCCACATATTTTGAACACCATCGTTTTGGCCCTTAATTATTTCAAAAGATGGAGAACAGCTTAATACAACATCGTTTTGAATTAATTAGTTTCTTAAAAATGAAATAAAATATCATATGTTATTGGAACATAATAAAGGAGAACTTATCGTGTCAGCCGCGCCTAACAGCGAACGCCGTGCGGACTTGCCCGTTTGAGGGCCTTCCCGGTACAATTGTTTGATAAAATTTTTGAGCACGTTCATCATCAAGTCTAGTTTATTCATACCAAAATTCAGCTCAAAATTCGACCGGAAAGACATTCAAATAAATTCTTGAAACATATGGTGCATTCTGCACACATATAATGCGCAACATGTTTCAAATATTTATTTGAATGTCTTCCCGATCGAATTTGGAGCTAAAATTTGGTATGGATAAACTACACTTGATGAGGAACATGCTCAAAATATTTCATCAAAAAATTCCACCAGGAAGACACCCAAACGGGCAAGTCCGCACGGCTCTGCCCGTCAAGCGCGCCTAACCAGAATTGTACTCTAAAATAAAGTATCGCTACAACAATATACAATATAGTATTGACATAATTGAAAACTACACTACTAAAGTACTACGCAGTATTAAAAGGGGATTATCTCTTGAATATTACTATTAGGAAGCTCAATCCCACAAAAGTGAGTCCAATTTAAAAAAGGCAAAAAAGTGACCTTATAAGTCATAACATTGGGAACAATTTCACGGTTCGTAACTTAAAAAACGGCAAGTTGCCAACTACCTTCCAAATCAATTTTAAAAACTACACGTTGGCATATTACCTTAACAATGCTTAATAATGCACTCTATCACAATTGATGGTTTTTCAATTTAGTATTATTTTTAATTTTCAATGCATTCCGTAACCACGCACTCTAAAATAAGTCTAAAAATTTGTTGTTTTTTTTAATTTAATTTTTGAAAATAGAAATTCGGATATGAAAATTGTGTGACAAGTGACAACTGTTCGAAACACCGTCGTCCCAGTTAATAAGTTATTATTACCGCTCCGGCGTCACTCTTTCAGTTACTATCGCTCTAGTGACATCATCTCAGTTATTATCGCTCTAGTGACATCGTCTCAATTATTATCGCTCCAGTAACATCATCTTTTATTGCAACAAGTTATGATTTCTCGTCGCCACTGTCGGGGTCACTGTCCCCACCGCCTGTGTCACTGTAGTCGCCGTCCGTGTCACTGTAGTCGCCGCTCGTGTCACTGTAGTCGCCGCCCGTGTCACTATACCAGCCGCTCATGTCCATGTAGCTGCTGCCCGTGTCACTGTAGTCGTCGCAAATGTCATTGAAGCCACCGCCCTTGTCACTGTAGCCACCGCCCGTGTCACTGTAGCTACCGCGGGTTACTGACGTCATGAAACATGTCACTGTAATCATCCGAGACTTTTTCCGGCAACCCCGTCCACTCAACACTGCCCCCACCCCTGCCCCTTCCCATCCCCAAGCTGCAGAACCCAGCACCCCACTTCTGCACCATGTCCTGCCCAGCCCCAATCACCATAATCCACCATCCCATTGCAGCCATCGTCGAACTTAGCCGCCGCCACCAAACCCTGCCATTGCCCTCCCAACCTCCACCAGTCTGCAGCCCCTTCCCTGTCGTCCCAACCTGACCACCACCCTACCAGCTTGACCGCCCCTTCATAGTCCTTACCTTCCTGGTCTGGCCTCCTTCCCAGCCCCTCCCCAGTTGGTCTAACCCCTGTCTCCCTAAGCCAAAATTCCAGATCTGCGGCGGATTTGTTTAGTCCCAAGGCGGATGACATATTTGACCCACCCACGAAGCTCATCGTTGACCACCGTTTTTATTGTAGCATCGATGAAGCTCGCAGATTTCAATCTTCCCCAATATCGCCCTTTCGATCTCATCCTCGCGATTTTGAGATCGAATCTGAGAAGGAGCGATGGAGACAGCGTGATGGCCATGGAGGGAAAATCTGCGTCGCTGGTCGCGATTTCAGTTCTAGCGATGGAGGAGAAGAGCAGCGATGGCGACAGCGTGGCGGTGAGGCGGCGAAGGACAGGACGACAAATGAGAAGGAAAAGAAATGGATCGGAGGCGAGGCGGCGAGGCGGCGGAGGTGTCAACGCGGATGGAGGTGGCATTGGTGTAGACATCGGCGATGGAACATAAGAGTGAGAACAGATGCGAGAAGAGAAAGCAGACCGTGAATGTGAAGCGGATGGGAAAGACGGAGATGGAATGGGCTTATAATTTGGATCAGTTTTTTGTCTAAACAAAAATTAGTCATATTTTTATCCTTTGAAACTCCACTAGTATTATTTGGGCCATTATTTCTATTAGGCATTCTTAAAACTTAACTATATTTTAATTTTGAACTTATCAGTATTTTTAATTAACTTTTTCAACAAAAACGGTGGTTTTTATTTCGCACGCTGAGTTGTGTAATATTCAAAATAAGTAAGGTTGAAGTCGTTTTTCTGACTAAAATAACTAAAGTCACTATTAGCATAATTTAGCATAAATTTCAATAGAATCAGCCGAATCAGACAATTTCAGTGTTACCAAACGACTTTAAATGAGAAAGTCAAATTCCAATATGATAGAGATTGAATAAATAAAGTCAAGATGAGCAATGGGAAATATCTCTAAATAGGAGTAAACGAGTTTTGGAATTACAAAATATGACCGTTGTGATTTTCTTCTCAAAATATGTCTCGTTACAATCACAAATGAAATTATTATCATCAAATCAATGGCAACAAATATTGTTATGTTAATGTCTAGTATTCCAACTATTTTGGCAATAATGACTCTAATATGACAGTAAATACTGTTATGCTACTCCTATTTTGAGAAAAAAGATATAGTCATCCTAATAAATTTCAACATTTGTTTGTTCATATTTCACCAACTTCCCCTGAACAATAGGATTCAACATTTTAGCCTTAGAGGGTTGAAAGTGCGATTGTCTCTTTCTACGCTCCAACACTTAACTTGAATACACACCTGAAATTAAGTCCTGATATAGGTGAAACCGTGAGATCTAATCTACTAAGAGAGTGTTTGCAATTGCTTCTACTTTAAAAAAATGATTTTTTAAAGTGATTTGGAAGAAAGTACTTAATAGTAAAAGTTGACGGTGTTTGAAAAAAAATGATTCTGAAAAGTAAAAGTTGTAGTGTTTGGTAAAATAAGTGTTTTTTATGTAATAGAAAAAGTGAAAAGCAGTTTAAAGCACCATTCAACTTACTTCCAGCTTTTAGCTTTTAAGTGATTAATTTAAGCAGAAACTGTCATTTGAAAACACTTTTTCAGCTTTTTTTAAGCCAAAAGCTAGAAAGTGTTTTTTTTAAACAACTGTAAACACTCCTTTAGTCTGTACATGAGAAATTTGGACAATTCATGTCTAGATTTTCAATTTTCTTTATAACTCTCAATGTTCCTATTTACAATTTAACCATCTTAGTCATAAAATACAAATAAAACCAATCAACACAGTTGAAATGGCTCTTTCAATGGTAGCTCAATTGGTCACATGGATGAAATTTGGCTCAAGTGACAAGGATCGAATCTCACCGGTGTGGAGCAACCTTTCAAAGTGATGGACTCCTTATACGGAGTAAACATGTTATAGTCTTTATGTTTAGCTGAATTATCGTGATTAACATCCATCTTTCATATGCTCTATTGTGTCGGGGCAAACACTTAAAAGTCTTCTATTTCTACACCTTATTCACGGGACATAAACGGCCTCTGATCTGCGACTATCTACCATACCTGTGACCCTTTACTTTTTCTCAGCCTGGAAAACGCATCCAAAATGACTGACAAAGAGAAGTGGCATGGGTAAGGCTTTGATCCTTGTAAAGAATCTGATCTGCATCTCCCATTCGGGTCCTACCACAGCCTCCGTAACATTCATATCTTCCCACTTTCCTTTTTTTGGATGTAACATTTATATCTTCCCATTTCTAAATCTTCCCGTCATACCCTCAATAATTTAAAAAATAATACACTACTACACCTACTTTTTTTGGATTTATCCTATATTCCATCACATTATTTCACCATCTTCCCATCATACCTTCAATAATTCATACCTCATTTCACTATTCTTAATCTCACCCACTTTGGAAGTGGGAAGATATATGTGATATGTTGGGTGTGTTTCGGAAAATAAAGAAAATTAATTAAAATAAATTAATTAAATAAAATGACTAGAGAAAACAAGAAAGGAGCTGAAACAGAATTAGTCAAAGCTCGTGCTACGCACGATGTCCTTAAAACGTATTTGTTGCCTCCCATGGTGCTAGGAGCGTTACAACAATCGTTTCCCAGCATACAATGACTACGAACTAATGTTTGAGCACACAAACAAAAGTCCCAGCGAACGAGAACACAGTATGAACACAGAGGAATTTTTCAGAATGCTAGCAGTGTGTTTTTAGAGGTGCAAAACGTGTATGAATTCGCGTGTGTTGTTGCAAACCACCTGCCAGCCTTTATATAGGAGGATTTGTTGTGTGTAAATGGTGAATTAATGGACCTGAATGTTGGACATCAATGACCAGTCCGTTGGGCATTGAATCGTCCATGAACTGTCCATTTAACGCTGCATTAAAAGATAAGAACGTTGGGCATTAATTGTTGTAACGTTTCAGAAGTGCGACAGAAGACCTCCATCTCTGATCAGCGGGAGGGGTTCTGATCGGAGGCCAATCAGAAGACCCCATCTCTGATCCGCGGCCATCAGAATACCCCCATCTCTGATCGAAGCCTTGCCTTCTGTTCCGGAGCACTTCTGTTAACTGGGAAAAAATATACGTTTCGGGAAGAAAACAAAAATAACCCGTATCTCTTGAGAGATGGATTTTTGGACGACATTCGTGTCCGCAGGTCGGACGCGCACGCAAGTCGCGGGTTTTCTTCTCCGAATTCGGGATTTGATTTGCACCCCCCCCCCCCCCCCCCCCACGCGCGTGGAGAGAGCCTTTACCCTTAGGAATCTTAACTCCTTAAGGGGGGAGTCCCTTTATAAAGGGTTGCAAATCCCTTGGGTTTTCCGGTGTGGGAAATTAACACACTAGAAACCCATCCTTTTTACCAGTTTTTCCATTCTAACGGGTAAACTTCGAAAAGCGATTTCTCATTCACCCGTTATCCGTTTTGAGCGTACCATATATCGAATTGTAGCTCTGAACAAGGACAATCCGAAACCACTTTGACCCGACCCAAATCGGAAGTGGAACTCACTCAAAAAATTGCCCCAAAATAGCCATTTAATGCAATTTTTCACACATTTTTCCAACATGATACAGAGGGAGTACATTAATGTGATGTGCCCCTCATGCACATCAGCACATCTACCGTACTCTATCACTTCCAAAGTCCTTCAAATCAGGCTCTTACCAAACATGAGACTCATTTTGCTAACATTAAAATTGACCCAATGGAAAATGCTAGGGATACACAAGTTGTACACAACTTGTACACACAACGTCGGTCACAGACAATTGGTACAGAGTTGCCTGTGACCACAGACATTTATTTTTTTGTAAAAAGTACACTGAGAGCCGCCTGACACTGACAAGTACTTTATACAAAAAAAGTAAATGTCTGTGGAGACAGACAAAATTTGTCTGTGTACATAGACAACGAACTCTTGTCTATGGTCACAGGCAACTCCGTACCAATTGTCTGTGACCGACATTGTGTGTACAAGTTGTGTACAACTTGTGTACCCCTAGCATTTTCCATATCTCTAATATGTTAAATTGTTGGTGGAATGACTGATCCTATTATGTTGGCACTTGGCAGCTGAATTATAACTACAAATAATGAAACATTAGCCCTCAAAGTGGAAGATATAGGGTGCCAAAGGGACAGTCGCATGTTTGATTCCTGACAACTATTATGAGAGATTACAATGCAAAATGCAATAGACCTCTGCTGATATTAGGGCTAGAGTCCCATTTGCTGTTTATCGACATTGTGAGGATAGTCCAATTTACATCCTGTCAATTAAGCACAATCTGCTCTGACCTCTGGGGACCATCAGGGATATGCCCGGTTACTGGTCCTTAGAAATAATGAAATACCCCGGATATGACTACATTAAAGGTTATAAACAAAACTATCATTTTAGTGATCATTGGTTTTTTCAATTTTAAACTGTAACAACCATAACTTTCTATTTTAGTAATGTTTTTTTATATATCATAATTCATAAATTTTGGGGAAAGGTGCAAATAGGCCCATGTACTAACCAAAAAAGGTTAAATAAGCCCTTATTTAGGAGGTTCTGTCCGGCCGTCGTCATTTGGAGTGGTTCCCGGTGGAATTTTTTGATGAAATTTTTTGAGAATCTTATTCATGAAGTCTAGTTTACTCATACAAAATTTCAGCTAAAACTTCAATCGGGAAGGCATTCAAATGAATTCTTGAAAATAACTGCGCAGTTAGAAGCGCAGTTATCTTCAAGAATTCATTTGAATGCCTTCCCGATTGAAGTTTTAGCTGAAATTTGGTATGAGTAAACTAGACTTGATGAATAAGATTCTCAAAAAATTTCATCAAAAAATTCCACCGGAAACCACCCCAAATGATGACGGCCGGACAGAGCCTCCTAAATAAGGGCTTATTTGACCTTTTTTTGTTAGTACATGGGTCTATTTGCACCTTTTCCCTAAATTTTATTTGTCTAATAATTGAGGAACAACCTCTTTACTATTATCATTAGTAAAGCAAAATAAATTACACACAAGCATTAACTGAGTAGCTTGAATGTTTGAGAAGTTGAGAATACCAATTTCATTTCTTGACCGTTAGTTTGGGATGTACTGAAACCTCATGTTTACAACGTGCATTCTTCCTATATTTCTGTTAAATAATTTTATCAATTTTACTATATATGTCATATATATGTGTACGTACATATAAATTAATATGTAATTATGTATCTTCTTTTAGCATTGTTGAGGTAATGGCTCTATTTTGGACCGACAAGTATAATTCCCAAAATTAACTCATTGACTTAGATTAATCTCCTTTATTTAGACAATGAAATAAATATAAAGATATTATTAATTAAAGCGATAATTGATAGATGAACTTGTGAAATTGTTATGCAAAGTTCCAAATTTCACATTTGTTAACGCACAAATTTGATTATTAATATATTTCATTCTTTATTAATAAAAAAATAGAAAATTCGGATTTTGAAAATTTAAAATGACATAAATATAACAATATTAATCAAATTTTAATTTATAACACATTTATGAATAAAATATACTAGTAGTCAAATAGAGCAGGTGAATATT